CTACAAAAACAAGAAAACAACTATTTAACGAGATAAAGAACATAGTGGTTTAACGTGTATCTTGTGTATCTCTTGTGTCTTTGCTTTGGGGTGTGGTTGTGTGTGTGTGTGTGTGTGTGTGTGTGTGTGTGTGTGTGTGTGTGCGCGCACTAGATGAATTAGTGGTTCAGCTAATACCACAGAAGATATGAAGGCACAAACAGTGATTATGTTAACACTGAACATTACTGCACTTATAATGAACGTGTCAACCAAAAACATCTACAAACATTGTGGCAGAAAGAGGAACTCACTCATTTGTTCAATTTTTTTCACTTTCTCTCTGTACCTTCTCAGAAGACATTATTATAGAGTGAACCTTGTAGATTTTTCTTCTGAACGTTAATAAGACACGTAAGACTGACTATACAGACTTGGTGTCTTTGCGCTTTGTAACATTTTTTCAGAGCTCTTTCTCACATATGAGATTTTTAATTTTTTTTTGTTCTAAGGAGAAGAATCTGAGAAGTACAAGATTTAAGCAGAAGTCTCTATCATATCTCCATTGAATTGTTTTGCTGTCTTGGAGATACAGTTGAAAGATTAATTATCCTTTGTGTGTGTGTGTGTGTGTGTGTGTGTGTGTGTGTGTGTGTGTGTGTGTGTGTGTGTGCATGTTTATGTGGTTTATGAGGACACAAATTTGTATAATAACATGGGTATGACATAGGTATTACAACGAGAAGGTGATTTATGAGGACATTTTCAGTGTCTCCGTAATTCAAAAAGGCTTATAAATAATTCAGAATGAGTTTTTTTGAAAATCTAAAAATGCAGAAAGTTTCCTGTGAGGGGTAGGTTTAGGGGTAGGGTTGGTGTAGGGCAATAGAATATACGGTTTGTACAGTATATAAACCATTACGCCTATGGAGAGTCCCCATAAACCATAAAAACAAACCTGTGTGTGTGTGTGTGTGTGTGTTTGTCTGTGTTTGCATTTAATTCATTTATTTTTGTTTTATTTTTATGTATTTTATTTACAAATTTTAGTAATTTGAGATGCCTTCATTTTCCTGTTATCCTGTAAGTTATTTTACTTGATGCCTTCATTTTATTATTTATATTTTTAACACAAAATACATGCTACCGGTTTGTTCAAACTGATAAACAAAAACACAACCTAGAGAACTGAAATTTTGCTTAAGAACTTCCAATTCCCTCAAGTATCCAAAATCGTACACTTCTTCTCTCATTCTTATTATCAGTGGAGTGTGTATATATGCGTGTGTACCTTTGACGTGCCGCATGAACACCTGTGCAGATTTTACCTGAGCCACAAAGACATGCAGGTGAAAGATCACTCACTTCAACACCTGTCTTAGAACAACACATGTGTTGTAATTGTCCAAACACACACGCACATAAACACATGCATTCTCACATACAAAGACAGTGTCTCTCTTTCTCCCTCTATCTCTCTCTGAGGTTAAAATAATGAAAAGTAGATCTGTCGATCTGGCCACACCAGCCTCGCCACATCCTTTAGCTGTAGTAGTGTTTCTGCTTGGGGGAAAACCCCTGTGTGTGTGTGTGTGTGTGTGTGTGTGTGTGTGTGTGTGTGTGTGTGTGTGCGCAGGCAGACTGGCTCTCAGTTAGGAGAACCCCTGGCTCATCATCACAGAGATTTAGAGATCACACAACGTACAGAGCTTGCTGATATGCCTGCGCACACAAATAGAAATATCATCCCACCCTCCAACGCCCCAAAAAGGGGAAAAGGCACACAGTTCAGACAATCCCACCCCACATAATGTCAGTTATGTAAGCTGTAAAGTTCTGCTGTCAACTTTTTTTATGTCTCTATCTGTCACGCTGCTACTCAACATTTAAAAAAACAATGTTGAGATACACTCAACAACTCAGTAAAACATGGTAACCTGTAATTGCTACCTTAAGGGATAGTTCTGTCATGAAAATGTTGCATTTGATTTACTTTTACTTTTATTTAAGACATAATAGATGTTAAGTGACTGAATTTGTATTATTAGAATTTTAATTTGATATATAACAAACAAACAGGTTTTTGATCTACATGCTATACAAAGTAGAAATATCATGGCTTAACAGATAGGGTTGAAGTGTTACTTTATATTGTATTTAGAACCACAAAGATTTTAGGCTACATTTGCCACAGTTGTGAGAGTTAACACTGTCGCATTTCAGAGTTAGTCTGTTTTATGTACAGTAGTAGCCAAAAGTGATATCCGGCCTAGGAAAATGGACATCTTCACCCTTTATTCAAACATTTTATTGTTAAGGATTTTGCAAGCGTTCTGCATAGTTGGAGTGTAAAACAAGTGTACGCCCTGAATTGTTTCGTTTGTAATAATGCAATAAAACATGGCAAATTATGTATAGAAATTACGCATGACACATGCACAAAGAGTTTTGGCCTGGAGAATGATTGCTGTAATCAAAATCAAGAGAACCAAGAAATTATTAATAACTGATATTCTTATTTTCAGTGTATGCTTTGTTTCCTATCAGCTTTTTGTCTTTACTATGCCATTTTTTTTTTTTTTGCATAGTAAAATAAAACCCATATTTCATGATTAGTTGTAGGGTTTTTTTCCCCAAAAGTTTTTTGCTTTTTTTAATATAGTTTGATCTTGTAGGATCATTAAAAGCTAATATTGAGAAATATCCTCTCCAGACATCACTTTTGGCCATTACTGTATTTTATACACTATCATTATATATATATATATATGTACATATTGTCTCTAATGCTCACCAAGGCTGCATTTATTTAAACTTAAATTAAATACAGTAAAATAGTAAAATAGTTAAATATTATTACAAATTAAAATAGAAAATAGTTATTTTAAAATATTTTATATTGCGTTTATTCCTCTGATGGCAAACCTGAATGTTCAGCATCATTACTCCAGTCCTCATGATCCTTCAGAAATCATTCTAATGTGCTGATTTGCTGCTCAAGAAACATTTCTTATTATTATTATCAGTGTTGAAAACAGTTGCTTAATATATTTGTGGAAGCCCTGATACAATTTTTAAACCAGGAGTCTTTGATGAATAGAATTCAAAGGAACAACATTTATTTGAAATACAAATATTTTGTAACATTATGATTGTCTTACTGTCACTTTCGATCAATTTAATACACCCTTGCTGAATAAAAGCATTTCTATACAAAAGTATACGGACCCTTTTAACAGTATAGTGTATTTTCTTTTCTTTGTTTTCAACCATTTTATCTGCTGTTTTGAATTCAAATGTTCATAAATGGCATAATTTTTGTGTTCCAGCTGGCCCCAGTAACTGATAGTAATGCACTTGCACGTATTTACACTATTTAGAGATATAGTATATTTCTAAACTATTTCAATTTGTAGCATTTAAAAGTGGAAATATTATATACAAGTTGGAGAGAGTCCAAAAAACATGTTAGAGTGCTCCCCATCTCCCCTATTTTTCTGTAGTGTGAGCAAGAGCCCTCATACCAGTGTTATTTTGGAAACGCATGCGTGCCCCAGAGCCACCTCTCCCCTTACACTACTTAAAAAGTAACATTTCCTTCCTTAAGCACACATACAGTCACCTCACTCTCACAGACAGCCAGATTGACAGGCAGCCAGCTCATCAAGTGTCATCAAAGCCAATGAATCACAACCGTAAGGGGGGAAAGGAAGTGAAAAGCATCAAACAAAAAAAGAAATAAGAGATGGGAAAAACACAAAGCACTTGCCAGTCAGTGTAATTGTGGTGTTTCAGACCACACGTGACTCTGCCTGTCTTGAAATGACCTCATGCTTCCTAAGAAAACTTCCACCTGTACTGGCTCAGCAAACGTATATCCCACAATCCTGCATTCTACAACAGCTTTGAAAGCTCCAAGTGCATGGCTTTCACAAGACACTTAGCAAAAGAAAAGGCCACTTTGTGCAGGGCTTCCTTTACAGCCCAAGGTGTCACTTGAGAAGGTTGCTGTAATAAGAAAACGGGAGGGGAAATGGTTTTTAGGTCATTGTGTTTTAATGTTAGCATTGTGCTGCCTTTTTAACAGCAGGGTATTGAGGGAGAGAGAGTGAAATGGAAAGATCCTGAAGCATGATATGAACATTTTTAGCAAATTGTATTATTGTGCACAGTTTAGCATAACTGTTTAGGCTTTTGAGTGATTAAAAGCTCGTTTGATTTCATTTCAAGGCAACGGGATCAATGAGAATCGGACAGCTGTAGACACCTGCTGTCCCTGCTTATGTTTCCCTAAAAGTCAACCTTTTTCTCCAAATAGAAATTCAATAACCATTCACCTCTGACAGGTGACCTTATGTTTCTACTGAAAGGACAGACACAACGAAATGCAGTCATTTGAACTGTTTAATTCCCCAGTGAATTCTGGAACATTCTCAGGCTCTTAAGGATCTGGTTTAATGACATGAGAGATAAACAAAACTGGGGTGGTGGGGGGGGGGACACACCAAGGTGGATCACATACAACCAAAAAATTAACAACTCATAAGAAAATACTTTCTTCAGTAGTTCTATCTCTAGAAGTTATGTTTCTATAGTGGTAGAAAATAAAGCTCTCATGACGTCCTGTTACATCTTGCATATATTCTTGTAAAAATATACTTTCAAAATAAATAAATATATAAAATAAATATCTTTTTAAAAAAAAAACATAAATTAAAGGACCTAAAGAGAAATGTTTGGAGGAGTTTGTCTCCTGTTTGTCCATGCCAGTGTTTGGAAGAGTAGGAAATCTCAAAAGCATTTCACAGAATTCCTTCAGAAGCCTTCTAGAATTTTCAGTAGTAGTAGTAGTTATCCATCAGAAGTCCACCAGTGCTCTCTTTTAATCCAAAATCCCTTGTGTCCTACATACAGCAGGTGTGAATGGATCTGTTCTTCAGGAACTATCCAGACATTTGGTTCCTGCCACTCCAATCAAGGGCTTTCCATCTCCTGCTAATGGTCTAACTTTGGCCCGCAAAAGAGGGCCTCTTTTCCCCCTCGTCTGCGCTGCTTTCTCCTGAGACAGGTTTGCCCGAGGGGGATAAAGAGCATGCAGGTGCTTTTTTGGGGGGTTTGAAAGTGAGGTTCATTGGCTTCAGCTGTGACCTAGTATCTCCTTGTAAAGCTCAGGAACGCGCTCTGGATCTACAGGCCGAGGCAAGAAATGCGTGAAGCGCTGGTGCCTCCGAGAGCGAGCTCCATCTCGAGACGTTCCGTCTTTGTTGAGGGCTACGTAATAATGGGATCCTCGCTCACCGTGTCGATACAGGTTAGACGAGTAAGTGTTGTACCAGTTCTCCTCAAACTGCTCCCTGAACACACACTCCGCTGTCAGCTTTTCCTAAGAGAACAAGAGGGAGGGCAAGGGTTAATCACACTGCAAATGCAAGAATAAACTGTGTCCAAAGGCTATTTGAAATTACACCGTAAATCACTCTCTCAATTCAGCACGGCCACGATATGAATTAAATGAATTGTTGCATTATTCAAAATACTATACCAGTAAGAGGAAGAACTAAAAACTGGAATATATTGGAGCATTGCTATACTTACAGATCCGTACAGTTCGCCCTTGCTGTTCATTCCCAGATACAGTCCGCAGTCCACACCACGGATGCTCACCATCCCCACAGCGAGGCTAATGAATTCCAATATACCTGTGAGAAAAGCACAGCTGTTAGTTCCCCGGTGTTGAGACAGCAGGACAAGCACCTGCAATAGTGGCATCAAACTGCCCTATACTTAATTCATGACATCTTTCACACTTAATCACTGTGTTTTGCTATGTTATACTGTTATTGGAACACAGGTTTATGAAAATAATAATAAGAATCACTGTCGTCATAATAATATCATCAGATTTTACATTGCATTGCAATTACAGTCAGCAATTTCATTATTAAAATATTCATAATGCATATGTTTTTTATTGAAATGTCTTGATATCAGAGTTTTAACCATTACAATAATCATCAGTCCTGGTCAATCTCTACATAAGTGAACAGCATGTGCAGCTGCGTTATGAATGCACAGTGTTGTTTGGTTATTACTATAGTATATTAGCAGCACTGGCTGGCTGTAATGAAATAACGATAAATAACACTTACCAAATCTGCTGTGGTCTTTTCTCGTGCCTTGCACCGATCCGTCCGGTAATATCTCGAGGTGGTAGCCGGTTCTGCAGTAGAGCTGCCGGCGGCGGAGTATCCCTTTCAGATGCGTCAGGTCCGGTGAAGTGCTGCGTGACAGGCGCTCGGCGGAGACGATGTGCTCGTTCATCAGAGCACCATCAATCTCTACATAAGTGAACAGCATGTGCAGCTGCGTTATGAATGCACAGTGTTGTATGGTTATTACTATAGTATATTAGCAGCACTGGCTGGCTGTAATGAAATAACGATAAATAACACTTACCAAATCTGCTGTGGTCTTTTCTCGTGCCTTGCACCGATCCGTCCGGTAATATCTCGAGGTGGTAGCCGGTTCTGCAGTAGAGCTGCCGGCGGCGGAGTATCCCTTTCAGATGCGTCAGGTCCGGTGAAGTGCTGCGTGACAGGCGCTCGGCGGAGACGATGTGCTCGTTCATCAGAGCACCGGAGTCCCCGGGGGGCGTGAGGATGAAATGAGACCCGTGCGCAAAGCTCTCCAAGCCGTGAGAGAAGCTGCCCACCAGCTCGCCGACTGCACCCATCACCGACACTCGAAGAAAAAAGTTGTCGTGAGGAGAACCCCTGTGGTTTCTCTTTCCCTAGTGCTTTGCGCAGTCACTGCTTGCGGCTTTGACAGTCAATGCGTGTTTACATCCGATTCTCTCTCTTTCTCTCTCTTCAGGTTTTAGCACATGCTCTCTCGACCTTCCAGGCTACTCCCCTTTGCTCCGGTCCCCTGTGTATCCAATACTCTCTCTTACGCACTCCAGCACACAAGCTTATGCGGCTTCTCTCCTCTTGTGCTCTTTGGATGTGACTGGCTCTGCTCTGAGACACCAGCCTAAATATGGCCCTTATGTAAATGCCCTCTTGACATATGCTAATTGAGTCCTTTATAGATGACTGTTTGAAACATAACTCCTTGATCGTTTGATCCTCTTCTTATGTCTTCTTTGATGGTCGGTTTCATCTGCATCCACGCTTTTAATCCATTGATGGATTATGATAAAAGTGCAGATAGCGACATTGTGGAGATCCCTGTACAAATCTTTGCAACGAGGAAAAGAAAAGTGCAGTTGGATGGAGAAGAGGGATGCGCACTGTGTACCGATCCGTTCCGATCCCCGGGGTTTACGCGCACTGACGCGCTCTGGCGAATCTCTAGTGTGAAGCAGGTGGAAGCCAAGGAGGGGAAAAAAGGAAAAGAAAGGGGGCGGTGCTCGATGGAGAACGAGAGAGAGAGAGGGAGAGAGGCAAGACTTCAAGGTGTGTAGTGCGTAGGCTATGCGTTATTATTAGTAGTAGTAGTATTAGTCCAAAAAGTGTCTTCTTGATTTGCAATATGTTTTATACGCTGAAAAAAAAAAACATTGTGTAGAATCATTTTTTTTCATTTAGAAATTGCTAGTGAATTAATTATAAAGAAACGGCAAGTATTACATTGAATTAAACGTGAAATTCTTAAGTTGAAAGACTGGAATTTTATTTTTTCATAAAACGTACTTCTATTTTATTTTAAAAATAAAGATTATTCCTGGGTTTAAACGTCGCTTGGCTGCCTCAGCCAGGTGTAAATTTATGACCTATAAAGCGTGCATGAAACTTTAAAAGAAAAAAGAAGAAACAGTCAAAACAACCTGCACATCTGTGCAAACGCCATCACTGCACTGTCAGCCCTGACTGATGTCGAAGTGCCTTTGAACAGTTCCAGCATAACATGAGTTGAGATGAAGTATCAAAGATATCAGAGATCAAAGATTCATTACGCACAAAAGAAGGGTCATTAACGCAAAGGAAACGAACTGTTTGATGGCACATCGTTGATACTATGAGTGATTGATATAGAAAATTTCCAACCCAGCAGCTAAGAGCATGCCTCAAAGTAGATATTACATGAAAGATTCCTTGGGTATGGATCTGATGTTGCTTATTCATTTTTTTTTTAAAGTTGAGCATATGACTGCTCTTAAATAGCCTACTCCGTAGACTGATCAATGCATTTTTGTTCACAGTATAACATTTATTTATTTGTTTGTTAGTTAGTTAGTTAGTTAGTTAGTTAGTTAGCTATTAAGTTGGTTCACAACTTAAGTTTATTATAAAATATGCGATAATAGTATAACATTAATAAAAGCAATCGGCTATAATAATATGATTGATTAACTACTATATATATATATATATATATATATATATATATGTGTGTATATATATATATATATATATATGAACATAGTGCAGAATATATATATAATATTTGCAGTCTAGCCGTATATCGTCTAAACATTTAAGTACCAAACCCCTTGCTATCTCTCAGGACAGATCACTTTCACGTAGATGATTTATCAACGGTTCTCTCAAGGGATACGTTCTCCCACGTCGTCCCCCTTAGCTCATTAGTATTTATGATCTCCAAAAATACCTTAAACCAAAATCAATGTGGTCAGCTAGAGCAGGATCAATCCACAGGCGCAGTGGATCGATCACTTACAATAGAGATGTCAGTTATGTGCCAGATTTCGTGGTGACATTGACAGTTTGCTGAACTGTCAACTTAAAACAAGTCATAGGAGTTTGGCGTTTTTCATAAAAGAATCACATAGGTTCTGATCAGACTTTGGAGTCGTACACTACAGATGTGCAAAGCAGATGTGCCCGTTTGACTTCAATGACAGAGCAAGTGGCGAAACTGTGATTTGCGTAATAGCCTAACACTACAATAGGGGTTGTTGAACTATGTGTGAATAGATGTTAAAATTGTCTAAACGTGAATAGGTCTAGTTGTTTACATAGTACAGAACTTATAATAGTTATAACCAGTGTTGGGGTAACGCATTACAAGTAACGCGAGTTACGTAATCAGATTACTTTTTTTCAAGTAACTAGTAAAGTAACGCATTACTTTTCAATTTATAAGAGAATATCTTAGTTACTTTTTAAAATAAGTAACGCAAGTTACTTTTTTCTCCAATGTATTGATTGACAGCTCTGGTGTCGTCATGTTGAGAGAAATCAGAAGATGTTACTGTAGTTCTAAAATAAATATGAATATGCGTTAATTCATCTCACTCAAAAAAAAACAACAACACAGATTCACTATTCCTCAAAATGAATAAAAATAATGCAGCTCAGAATATGACTCAAACCTGCAATAATTAAATGTTAAACAACACAAATATCCTTAAATACACAAAAAGCTTTCATGACACAAAAAGGCTTAACAATTACACACAATGCCTTTCATGATGACCTTTTGATGTCTTTGAGATATGATATCTGTTCATCCTGATTGAACAAAGACAGCGACACTACAAACAATAATTAGCCATTTAACTCTAACAACATTTTAGTTTAAGATTTATGACTTTACAGAGATTATAAAAACAACGGCTTTGAAAAATATAAAGTCTTAACTAATTGTATTGCTTGTCGTTGGTCCTTGCAGGCTCCACCTTTTGATTTTGATGAAAATGACGTGTACATGTCGTCTCATGAGCATCGTTTCCGCCTCTTCAGCTCAGTGGAGTATGAAGGACAGCTGTACATGACTGCTCAGAACTTCATCGAGTCAGTCACCATGAGTGAACCCCGCAGTGAGTAACATGTTCTGATGTGTACATGTGCTTCTTCTAAGCTCTAGAATTATATTTCACTCAAACTAGGAAAAGTAGCAAACTTCAAGGCTCTTTACTGTAAAATCTGATTAGATGACATTACTTTAAAAATGCAAAATGATTGCCTTAAAAAATGAACTAAACTTATTTATTTGGACCAATAGTTGCATATCTCTCTTTATAGAAGTACTTGATGGTCTGCGAATCACCTAATGTGGTCTTCTCAAACCATTTAATTAAAACTTGTTTCACACAGACCTAACTCAAATCTTTGTGTTTGTACATTTATTCATTTAGCAGACACTTTTATCCAAAGCAACTTACATATGAGCAAGATGTCTAGGTATCCTTCTTTTACTAAATTATTTAAGATAAAAATGGTGGTCTTCTTTCTCCCCAGTACTTCATAGTGCACATTAAACAGCATTTTTGTAAAATATTACCATTTTTATGGAGATGTAATGTTTAATTAAAACATCATTGTGAATTAAATGGTTTGTTGTTGGGCCTTGATCTAATAAATGGTTTGCTACTATAGTCTAATTAATACATATTAGAAACAAAAGTCATTAATGGGTCTTAATGGATCAGATCAAAGCTGTGCAAGAGAGCCACAGAAGTGCTTAATTATTACTTAGCTGGATTCAATCTCTACTGTGCTTTGAAGTGCAGGTCTTGATACAATAAATGTCTAAATGTTCCACGGGAAACACAGCAGACATTAATGAAATATATGAAAATAGCATGACATCCATTAAAATACCTGCAAACCCCTATTGTAGTCCCCTTTTCAAGATACTGTACTTTAAAGATAATTTTATAAAAATCTTTATTGGAAAGGGTTTAAACAAACAATGTTTTTATACTTGTTCAATGAGCCACAAATGTTTTTTGTACATGCACCTGTGGACCAGTCCTTAAGACATTTATGGTTTACAGGTGGTATAAAGTCACTGTAATAATAACTTAGGACATTAAAGAGACCTACTGACTCTGACACCCAGGGTCTCTGAACACCTGTGTGAACATATCTTAGTCCTGCTACGGGGTGACATGAGGACTGCAGATGTGGCCAGAGCAATCAACTGCAGTGTCTCGAATGTAAGATGCTTAAGACAGTGCTACAAGGAGACAGGAAGGAGCTGAACGTGCTTTTAGTTTTCACTCAACATACAGCACAAAAATAGTTTTTGATAGTTGCATTATGTCTGAAGCAAAGCCTGTAGGACAAACTGAGCCTCTCAGCAAAGCTCCATGGGGCTGGTTGCCATGAGAGAGCATAATCAAATTTAGCCCAGCTCTTCTACTGTACTCTGACAGTGAACTGCATCTGCTCAAAAAAGGAAAAAATGCTACTCCAAAGATCTTGTTGTTTTGTCTGATTGATAAATATTATGGTATGAGACCCCCATCCTGAACTTATCTCACCGGCCACCCTCTTTCTGTTTCTGTCTGTCTGTTATTCTTAGTGAAGAAACCTTGGAGGTCCCTCACCAAACAGGTATGTTGTAAATGTATTTGTAATGCATGCTATGTAGATATGATAGCAAGGTTAAATTATTATTTACAGGTAATATTTAGATTTGTATTTCATTGTATGTACAGTCCTAAGAGTGAATCATTTATCCCATATAGTATGTTTGGTCATGTTTTACAGGAGTTGGAGAAGATCTTGTCCGACACTCCACCAGTGTGGAAAGGAACATCCAAGCTGTTCCGGAACCTTCGGGAACGAGGTGAGTTTTGCATTCCAACACACTAGAACTGAAACACTTTACAGGGGTCATATGCAAAAAAAAAAAAAAAATATATATATATATATATATATATATATATATATGGCTATAAATCAGCAATGACTATGCTGTCTTTCAATATACATACTCTTTGTGGATCAGTACGTTTTTGAGGCTGCATTTATTTAATCAAAAATACAGTAAAATGGTTAGAGAGTCGGACTTGTAACCCAAAGATCGTGGATTAGAGTCTCGGCACCGGCAGGGATTGTAGTCCGCATTTGTCACATGATCCTTCACAAGTCATTCTAATATGCTGATTTTTACAGTAGTGCAAAATTATATTATGTAAAAATTCCCAAATAAGATATGATTTTGTAAGTATGCTGTTCTTAAAAGTACCATGGTATTACCATTCTTTTTTGTTTGTTTGTCTTGTCCTTCTTTGAATTATCTATTCATATACCAAGTAAAGACCATGGAATATGAATATAGAATTCATTTAACATTCAGTATCAATGTACCATGGTATTACCACCTGATCAGTGTACCATAGTATCATCATTTTATTTCTTTTTGTAAGAGCATGGGAAGAGAATAATAGGGCGAAAAATGATTTCTCAGTTTTGTGATGGCTGTACAGAATCATATGAAATCAAATCCAGTCCTTCAGAGTTTTTCTAGAGTGATGCTGAATTGTCCTCGCCATTCTTGTCTCTTTCTTTCTCTTTCTTGCTTGCTCTCTCTCAGTGGGTACCAGTCAAGCACCAGTTAAGCACAGGCCTGAGGCTTTCACTTCCTGTGAGCACTCCTAAAAATAGCTCAGTTCACTCTCTTCGTCTCCCTCTCTCTCACTCTTTCCATTTCCTCTCTCTCATTCTCTCGCTTGGTCCAGTGCAACATGCATTCTACAGGCAAAATACGTGCCTGCTGACCAAAACGAGGATTGAAACCTAAAAACAGAGTGCAGGATTGCATTAATACTTTGTTGAAATAACTGCAGAAGTGAGCAGTTCTTCAGCAGCACAGCCACAATTAAAGTATTTGCTTGCGGCGTACGTAACAGCACTTGCTCACACCACCAGCTAATTCCCAGCGGTGATAATTATACACACACACACACACACTCCACACGCTTACAGTACAGCAGGACTCTAAAAATAAACCCTCTGAATTGGTATTACCATTCTTTTTTGTTTGTCTGTCTTGTCCTTCTTTGAATTATCTATTCATATACCAAGTAAAGACCATGGAATATGAATATAGAATTCATTTAACATTCAGTATCAATGTACCATGGTATTACCACCTGATCAGTATACCATAGTATCATCATTTTATTTCTTTTTGTAAGAGCATGGGAAGAGAATAATAGGGCGAAAAATGATTTCTCAGTTTTGTGATGGCTGTACAGAATCATATGAAATCAAATCCAGTCCTTCAGAGTTTTTCTAGAGTGATGCTGAATTGTCCTCGCCATTCTTGTCTCTTTCTTTCTCTTTCTTGCTTGCTCTCTCTCAGTGGGTACCAGTCAAGCACCAGTTAAGCACAGGCCTGAGGCTTTCACTTCCTGTGAGCACTCCTAAAAATAGCTCAGTTCACTCTCTTCGTCTCCCTCTCTCTCACTCTTTCCATTTCCTCTCTCTCATTCTCTCGCTTGGTCCAGTGCAACATGCATTCTACAGGCAAAATACGTGCCTGCTGACCAAAACGAGGATTGAAACCTAAAAACAGAGTGCAGGATTGCATTAATACTTTGTTGAAATAACTGCAGAAGTGAGCAGTTCTTCAGCAGCACAGCCACAATTAAAGTATTTGCTTGCGGCGTACGTAACAGCACTTGCTCACACCACCAGCTAATTCCCAGCGGTGATAATTATACACACACACACACACACTCCACACGCTTACAGTACAGCAGGACTCTAAAAATAAACCCTCTGAATTCTGTTCTTCCTCGTAGTAATTACCGTTTTTGAAATCATCACCTTAAGTTGGCGGCAGTACATTTATCTTGTTGGTTTCACTGATGTGGAGCCATGCATCCAGAAGATGCCTGTACTCAAGAAGCTTCAGCTTGACACGGCGTCTGATCTCAAGCTGTGGTAATGATAGCATGCAAATGTTAATTGAGGAAGCTATGCTAACGAGATCCGTGAATGTGCTCAGGTCTCTAAGGAGCAGTTTCTAAGAGGATGCAAACTCAAGGGAAGTCTTAGTGAAGAACTAGAAGGAGGCATGGGAAGTTAAAAATGCACACTCTTCAATATGACTTTGAGAAAACCATACAGTTAGGAAATTAATACCAAGTAATGATTGTTCTGGTCCCACAAGCAAATATATATTCTGTTTCCGTATTTTATTTTATTTTTTTATATATATATATTTTATTTATTTTAAAAAAAATTTATTGATTCATTTATAATATAATAAATTATTTATCTGATTATTTATTTATTTATTTATTTTAATAATATTATTTATTATATTATTATTTATGGCTGTTTCTTTAATAATGTATTGTTGTTGTTGTTGTTGTTTATTTATTTATTTAGATTGTCTTAAAAAAAACTAAAAAACAGCACCCTGTCCTTCATAGTTTATTATGTTTGAATTTTATTTGCAACTGCAAATAATAAAGTAATAAATGTATTAATATAAAATAAAAAATAAAAATAAATTCATTTATGCATTGCTATGATAGCAACTAAACAGGCTTTTTTAAGAAACGATGAGAAAACTTTTTCCATACCTTTTCTTGGCTTCATGTCAAAGGTCATTCATCCAATTAAATGGTATGTTTGGAAAAATTCTATCAGTTGGTAGAAACCAGCCAACCAGGGTTTCTGCAGGTCTTAAAAGGCAGGTCTACAAATTAAGGATCTAAAAAGGTCTTAAATCAGAGCAGAAAGTCTTAAATTCATCAGATGTTACTGTAAAGTCACAACATTAAATGTTGTGTGCACTACAAAAAAAATGAAAGCAAAATAAAGATATGAAGTCTTGTTTCCTAAGAAATTGAACACATTTGATTTATGCTTAAAACAAGTTTATGGTATATGGTATGAAAACTTGTTTACTCTTTGAATTAAGTGTATTTTGTAACCTCACCGGCAGATGTTTATTCTTATTTTAATCATAAACTCACTTCGTTATCAGTTTCTCAGAAAACAAGACTTCTTATATAGTTTTGCTTCTGAATGTACCTTGATTTGAAAATCACTGGAAAACAAGACAAAAATACCAAGGAAGAACATCACTTTTTACAGTGTAATCAGAAGGTATAGAAAATGATTTCCATGTTCTAATTAAGCTATTTTTTTATTTGTAAAATGAAATTAAAAGTAATGGAAATCTGTTGGAAGTTATTATTACTGCTCCATGAACATACTGACATATTATGTTCCCTTAAATTTTTTAATTTTTCTTTAATTGGTCTTAAAATCTTCAGAAAATGTGCAGAAACCCTGAACAACATAGACAGGTTATGTGACGTCCTTATCCTCATCTTAATGTCGAACCTGTGCAGTTCTGGTTAATATTTGATATTTTAGTATTTGTAGATAAAAAAAAATAAAAAAAGTCCTTAAAATCAAATATTGCTAAAGCAGTTGAGAACCACTAATACAGACTGTATAAAAGAATACCATACAGAGCTCATTTGTGATGTTTGTTGTTTTTGTTACAAAAATTCTGCAAATATTTTCCATTGATGTTGTCATGCATCCAGTTCGGGAACCAGACCTTTCTTCTCATGCCAGTGTTTTTGCATTGTAAATTGAGAACGCTTGGTATGCGGACCTTTAAAAGTATGAATCATCTCATACAAACACATCAGATTTAGCATTTAAACTTAATGCATCTCTAGGAGACAGGCTTAGTATTGAGACTGTATTGAACAGGAATGAATGGAATGTAATACAGCGCCTCTTCATTTAAGGGGCCCTGCTCAAAACAAAGATTTACTACATATGTAAGCACCATGTAAACATTAACTAAATGTCTGCAGCTAAAAAGCCACGTTTTACCAGTTTAAAGCAGCTTTAGACATATATTAATGTCTTTACATTTGTTTTAGATCCCCAGGGATAACCTTTGACCCCGAGTCTTCAGCTCTAATGTCAGCCACAGAATTTGGAATAGTTGCCTAAGAATGAAAATGTGTGCATCATTTATGTCATTATGAACCCTGTATTATTTATTGTATTCCATGAAACACAATAGGAGATGTCAGTTTCAATTGAACATCTGGTCTGGCAAAGGGAATAACTAAGGAAACTAAGTAAATTATGCCCAAATTTTCCAATCTGATTGTCTCTTCTGGCTCGAGTTGTCTTGCTCAGTGGACTTTGAATGCCTTTGTATTGCTTGAGTGAGTGTGTGAGACTGCGGGTGTTGGGTTGAATTTTCAGTATCAGGTTTTCCTCCCGAAGGCACCCAGGCAGTGTCCCGTAACACTCAGTCCACTCACCCTGAACTATCTCTATGCCTACTTCTGTCTCCATGTCCCCCTTCACACAGAAGCTGTGGAGAGGAACACTTTCAATGGAGGTGTAGTGCCTCCCCAGTGCCTTTACATAACAGAACTTCCATCTTTCCATCAGCCCACCTTGCTTTGTCTCTTTTTGGCTTTTCTTTTTACTCTCACTCTCTCTTTCCTTCGTACTCCACTTTGCCGCTTTTCTCACGAGTCTAACAAAAGCAGGGACAGTTCCTTGTCTAAATGGGGCACATCTCCCAGTCCTGACGGATGCCTCCAGAACACCCTTATCCAAACAGAAGCCTTTGAACGCATGCAGCCTCTGTCTCCATGGCGGTCACTCACTGTGTCTTCAGCTTCAGTGTGTGGGCCAAACGCGGGGCAAATGTTGCCTAAATGTAGACGGACACTTTAGCTGAGAGGTACCCTTTTAGATGTTATCATCATGAAAGGGGGGATTACTTGTCCTTTTTTTTGTTGGTGCAGGAGAAGGGAAAAGGGTATGTGACTCCATCTATCTCTGGAGGCCCCTAGCTTTGAAAATCAGTAAACATTTTAATCCAAGCTTCAGATGAGCCGCCTCCCGAGTTTTCAGTTTAGACAAAGAGTAAAAGAAAAAGGTTGTAGGTTGTTAGTGTGTTACTGTACATTAGCAGAATGGATGTGACCCTTTGATATCCTTTTTCAGGCATCATCGCTTACACTGAGTATCTCTTTCTGCTCTGCATTCTGACAAGTGAGTATGACCTCTATCTCTCAGTCTTTTCTATCTCTGTTTCCCTCCCTTAACTTTTCATTCTTATCCCATGCTTTTTTTTCTGTGCCCTTCTTTTTTTAAATCAGCGCACTATGCATGTATCCTATTTTAAACATGAATCAAAGATCATCTGTTTTACGTCTAGTGTGGCTCGCAAGGCCCACCCAGACTCTCACCCTCACCAAAAAAATTTCACTGAAGCCACATTTTACTCACTGCATAATTAAAGTTTCAGACTTGACTTTATGCAAAAGGAAGATTTTGCTGCTCAGAGGTCGCAGAGTTCTCAGTTATATCTTATTTAAATGCCAAATGTTTCTTATAAAATTGTTTGGAAGAAATATAAATAAATATATTTGCTTTATCTAAAGAGTATTCCTAAACTTTTTTTAAACTTTTCTAAACTTATTACCCAAAAAGTGTAGCATTTCCCAGATTTTATCTCCAATTGTCAGTAAAAATATTTGTTTGTAAGTTAGGATGTTTCAAAAATGGGTCATGTATTTTCATTTTTAAAAATACATTTTCACACCACAAAATGTAACTAGTGGGGGAAAAAACGTAAATGAACTGTTGCATTTGTAAAGTATGCATTTTCCCTTATTCACATATAATCAGGAGACATGATTAAAAGTCTTCATTTGTTCTCCATTCAGTGTTTAGGAGGAATACCTGAGATGTTAAAGGGTTAGTTCACCCAAAAATGAAAATTCTGTCATTAATTACTCACCCTCGTGTTGTTCCAAACCCGTAAGAAGAGTTCTCAGTTATATCTTATTTAAATGCCAAATGTTTCTTATAAAATTGTTTGGAAGAAATATAAATAAATATATTTGCTTTATCTAAAGAGTATTCCTAAACTTACATATTACCCAAAAAGTGTAGCATTTCCCAGATTTTATCTCCAATTGTCAGTAAAAATATTTGTTTGTAAGTTAGGATGTTTCAAAAATGGGTCATGTATTTTCATTTTTAAAAATACATTTTCACACCACAAAATGTAACTAGTGGGGGAAAAAACGTAAATGAACTGTTGCATTTGTAAAGTATGCATTTTCCCTTATTCACATATAATCAGGAGACATGATTAAAAGTCTTCATTTGTTCTCCATTCAGTGTTTAGGAGGAATACCTGAGATGTTAAAGGGTTAGTTCACCCAAAAATGAAAATTCTGTCATTAATTACTCACCCTCGTGTTGTTCCAAACCCGTAAGACCTTCGTTCATCTTCGGAACACAATTTAAGATATTTTTGATGAAATCTGGGGGCTCTCTGACCCTCCCATAGACAGCAAGGTAACTACCACGTTCAAGGTCCAAAAAAGTACCAAGATGATCGACAAAGTAGTCCGTGTGACATCAGTGGTTCAACTGTAAAGTTATGAAGCTATGAAAATACATTTTTGCGCAAACAAAACAAATATAACGACTTTATTCTATATTCTACTGCGTCACTTGTGGACGCGCGTTCACGAGCGCGTGGTGGCACTGACCCAGATCTGGCGTGTCCGCTTAGCTTTGTAACTTTACAGTTGAACCACTGATGTCACACGGACTACTTTGACGATCGTCTT